AAGACATAGTTCACAAAATATTCATTTCCATCTACTGGCATAAATTTAACTTCTATACCTTTAAGAGAAAAAATGAAAGTTTCTCCTTTCTTTTTGACGATCAATAAAAAATTCTTCTTTTTGTGATAATCCGCGTATATCTCTGGAGTAGCTAAAGTAGTAATAACTTCCATGTTTACCACTATTAAGGGAATATGCATATTGCATTTGCCTAAGATTGAATAAACTTGATGCACCGCCTTCCCCATTCCCCCTGGAAAAAGGGAACAGTCTCCCAAAGGCAAGCTGGCGTAACTTCCCCCCAACACACGTGAACTACCATCTGGGGCTCCACCGCAGTTGATGTAACAGTCACAATAGATGTGACTGCCAGGCCTAGTCCACAGACAAGATGGAGATGGAGCCACAGACTGCTTTCCCCAAGGCAGGAATTTTATTTTTCTGACATGGTCAGAGATCCTTTTATAGGTTTAAGGCAGGTGCTACAGAAAAAGAGGGCAACTTTTTGAAGACTGCCAGTTCTAGAAGTAGCAGACACGATCTCCTCTTTCTCCAAGTGAAGGTAAGGCAATAGCACACAGGAAGGATACGAAGGTTTTGGGTTTCTCTCACAAGTAGGCAATCAGGATAGAGAAACTACTAATATATGTAATATATTTTAATCTTGAATCCAAAATGAAAATTATAGTAACGTTTTCATTCCAAGAAACTAACTTGAGGGATATGTGAAAGAGCTGATTTCACCTAATGAGCGAGCACATTTGTGAAACAGGATTCAGGATTTCGATCCCTGAGTGAGCTTGCTGAACTCTGTTTTCTTAAATTGCCTTTGATCACGCGAACACCTGGGCTGGCGGTTGTACAGCCCCCCTTTGGTAACAAAGGAGGTCTAACCAAAGAGATTAGTTTGACTCACATAAATATTTCTAGGGAAATAGGTAAATATAAAAATAGTGTTGTGAAGCGTAGGTTGGATGATGGTAACAGTGATAATGATAACAGCTAAACTCTCTCAAGGGTTCGCTATGTTCCAGGACCTGTGCTGAGAGCCCCATGGGTTCTTTCATTGAATCCTTATAACAACCTTGTAAGCTGGACACTAGAAGACTGTTATGTTTATTTTATAGATGAGGGAATGGGGGTTCAGACTGGTTATGCTACTTATCTAGAGTCATACAGTTAGTAAGTGACAGAAACTTGACCCTTACCCAGCACTCTAATTCTGTAAGTGGTACTCCTCTGTTATGTCAAGTAATTTGTGGAACTAAGGGAAAGAAGTGTCTAACAAGTATTTGTAAGAAAAATTTTAGCACAGCACCACCACATGCAGGTTGGCTGCTTTAAAAAAAAGCTTCACTGAATTTATGAGAAAGAAAAATCATATGTTCAGAGAGTATTTATTTTTCTTCCTGATAATGGAATAGCATTGAATTAAGTTAGCAATTCATAAAAGATCATAGAAACAATTAGAAAATTAACAGTAAACTTTATGATACTGACTCTAACTGTGGTAGGAGTTCCAAGAAAGGAAATAACAGTAAGAGTAAACATGGAATGCTATTTCCTCATTTGTTCGGCAAACAGCAATTCGGAGCAAAGACATCAGAATTAGACTTTCAAAACAAAAAACAACTTCTTTACTTATTAACTGTGATTGTGGACAAGACACTTAAGATTATGTATTAATAAAAGCTTCAGTTTTCTCATCTATAAAATATTAATAACAATAATTCCTGCCTTATGGGGCTGTTGTGAGAAATAAATCATATGAACCTTGCAAAATGCTTGGCACAAGGACTGCTACTTACTAAAAGCTCAAGAAAAAGCTCTTTTTAGTATTACATTACTATTATTATCATCTGATATTGCTAGTGATCTAGGGCCTGGCTCTAAGGTATATGTCTCCCGATCTATCAGCAAAGTTGTGCTTATTTAAAAAATAATCCAATGCAATGTGATAGAGATGTGGGCAAGAAATTTACAAGGACAGAATGGCAAAGGCCATGTAACAGTAAATGACATTTACAAATAGAGTACTTGCCAAATGCATTGAAGAGGCAATATAGATTGGATCTTACTCTAGGGGCATTCATTGATGTATATCAAGAAAAATTTCCTAATAGACAAGGCCAGTACATTAATAAACCTTAGGAAAATAAATCTAGAAAATAATATGGCACCAAAATTCAGCTTTATTGCAGATAAAAATAATAATTTAGCATTTAATTTCATTTTTCTTCATTTATCTATTTTTTCATCCAAATAAATTCAAAGGCAAATCACAACAAAACATAATTTTACTGGTAAATTCCAGAAGTAAAGGAGCAGGTCTTGGTATGATTACCAGAATCCATGATATAGTCATTGGCAGTTGTGGCAGTGTATACTTTCAAAGTTACACCTAGTCCTCATTGGATCTTACACATTTTTACCCTTTTTTTTTTT